CTTCATTTTTCATCCCCCCTATAATCACCCCCCAGATTCCGGTCGCCATCTATCTTCCTACCCTGTCCCTCCGATCGACTCCCCTCCCACCACTCCTACCAGCTTCCCTCTTACACCCTCCAGATGATCTTTCTACCCCTGCCGACTGGTGCCCTCCAAACTCCCAGCCTGATTCCTGTTCTCCGCCATCGTACTTCGCCCCATTTGAGTCACCTGATACTGTGGAACCAGAACATCTAGCCATTATCCCGTTCAACCCTCTCACCTCTGAGTACTTTGAAGCCTGGCGCAACCAACAAGATCAAACTAAGTTGATTGAACAAAGTCTTAAGATTTGTGATATTCTCAAGCTCACAGATGCTGTTTCTTCCGAAAATGCGAGACAGAAGGTTGTACTCATTGCGGCTGAGTCTCAGCGTAAGAGAAAGAGGGAAGCAAGATCCAAGCTGGATATGGAACTGCGGCGGCTCGGCATCAGTCACCCTCCTCCATCATCCAGGGCTCGAAATCGCTCAGTCCACACGAATTAGGTGTGTGGTTCCTCCTATTGCCTATGGCGCATTTTGATCATGTCTCATTCTCTCATTGCTTGGAATGTACGTGGGTTGGGAAATCCGAACAAGAGAGCAAAAATTAAGCGGCTTTTGAAGAGGTGGAAACCTTCCATAGTGGGTCTCACAGAAACTAAATGGCAAAAGTGTGATAGAAACCTGATATCATCAATTAGTGGCTGCAAATCCAGTGAGTGGGTCGCCAAAGACTCTGTTGGGGCTAGTGGTGGCATTGCCATCTTTTGGGATCCTACCATTTACAGGGTCTTGACAGTTTGGGAAGGCAAATTCTCCTTAGCCGTTCGCTTGAAGATAATTGAATCCGAGGACATCATCTCCTTCTTAATTGTGTATGGGCCTCAGGACAAGAAAGAAAAATTAGAATTCCTTAAAGAAATTGAAGCAGTCTGCAGGGAATACTTGGCTGCACTGTGCATTATTGGCGACTTTAATCTTGTAAGGTCAGAAGAAGAATTCATAGGGTGCCCCAGAGACTTGGAGATCATGAATGAATTTAACAACTTGATCAATAGATGCAATCTAGTGGATCTCCCATTACAAGGAGCCAGATACACGTGGAGTAGAGGAAGCGGTGAGAATTCTGCTTCACGTATTGACAGAGCGTCTGTCAACTCAAGTTTTGAAGATCTGCTATCTTCGGAGACTCTTATTGCTCTTGACCGTGTGGAATCGGATCATAATCCGATTCTGTTGCAGTGGGGCGTAATTGAGCGCTTCACTCATCCCTGGCGATTTGAAAACATGTGGTTCCTAGAAGACTCTTTTCTGCAGAATTTGGTGGGATGGTGGAACATCCCAGTTAATGGGACTAGTTACCTGTTCAGATTTGGGCAAAAATGCAGGCAAACCAAGCTAATGATCAAGCAATGGAACCGAGACCACTTTGGGAAAGTTGAGAAGCATGTCGCTGATATTCTGTTTAGAATTAAAAGTATTGATGATGTAGAGGAAGCAGAACAGCTTGATGCGTTGTTGTTATCAGAAAGAGCTATTCTCAAATGTGAGCTGGAGAAGGTATTAATCATGGAAGAAATATTCTGGAGACAACGATCTAGAGAAGTTTGGCTACAGGTGGGCGATAAAAATACAGGGTTTTTTCACAGAGTTGCTAAGGTGAAGTGGAGGAAAAACCGAATCAAGAGACTGGTGATCGAGGGCAGGCTTTCGGAAGATGGGAATGAGATCAAAATTGCCTTCCATAACCATTTCTCTGCCAAGTTTATAGAAGAGGATAAAGATAGACCTTTCCCTGCCAGATACAGAGAGGGTATGCTTTCTTCTATGGACAATGAAAACCTGGTAAAACCATTCACGGAATCGGAAGTGTGGCAAGCAATTAGACAGTGTAACGGGAGTAAAGCTCCGGGGCCGGATGGATATTCAGTTGAGTTCTTTAAGAAAGCTTGGAATATCATAAAATACGATTTATTGAAGGCATTTGACGATTTCTTCCTGGCTGGTACCCTTCCACAATCGACAGCGCACGCCTTCATCTGTCTTCTGCCCAAAAAAGATCCATTCGAGAAAGTTTCCGATTTCCGACCGATCAGCCTACTTGGAAGTCTGAATAAAATCATTGCAAAGGTTTTGTTCAACCGTCTTTTGCCCCATATGAATGCCTTAATTTCTGATTACCAGTTTGCAGGGAAAAGGGGCAGAGTGATTCATGAATCTTGTTTGATTGCCAATGAAGTAATTGATAGTCGCAGAAGAAGTGGAAAGCCGGGAGTTGTAATTAAGCTAGACATTGAAAAGGCCTTTGACTCTATCAGTTGGAAAAGCATACTGAACTCATTGACTCATCTGGGTCTGCATGCGAGATTCCGGAAATGGCTCGGAGGATTGCTGTCATCCTCCAGGTTGTCCATCCTGGTCAATGGTGAATCTACTGGCTTCTTTGGAATGTCTCGTGGTGTCAGGCAAGGCAATCCCATCTCGCCCTTCCTGTTTAACATCGGTATGGACATATTATCGTTTATTCTCTGTGAAATAAGGAAAGAAGGGCTTATCACGGGTTTCTGTATTAACGAAGAGAGTCGCATTGGAGAGGTGACACATCTACTTTATGCCGACGATGCCATTCTATTCTGTGAAGCAAATGAAGCTAAGGTCCGCAATTTGCGGGCTGCCTTGATATGTTTCCAGGCGATTACTGGCTTGCAGATAAACCTTGAAAAGTCGAGAATTTTTCCGGTGGGTGAGGTTGCAAATATCGAAAGATTGGTGGAAATCTTTGGATGCAATTGGGCGTTCTTGCCAACTACTTACCTTGGTCTGCCCCTCGGGTGTCAGTCTCCGCCCACTGCTCATTGGAATAACATGGTGATTAAAACTCAGTCAAGACTAGAGGGCTGGAAATGGCAATTTTTATCGCTGGGAGGGAGGATTGTACTTATCAACGCTGTGCTTGCAAGTCAGAGTAATTACACAAGTTCGCTGTTCCTAATCCCCAAGAATGTCATCAACTCTTTGGAGAAAATAGAAAGGGATTTCCTATGGTCTGGTTCACGGGATAGAGAGAGACTTCACCTTGTGTCCTGGGAACTCTGCAAAACTGCCAAGTGCAGGGGTGGTTTGGGCATTCGTGACTTGGAGTTAAATAACCGAGCTCTTCTACTCAAATGACATTGGAGATTCGCGACCGAAAGAGGAACCTGGTGGAGGGAGATGATTGATGCCAAATTCCCTAACCAGTATTCAGAATGGTTCTCGGGCAGTGTACCGGGTAGCGTTGGAGGTAGTCTGTGGGCCAGGATTGCGAAGCTGCAGTCTGTTTTCTGGAAACTTACTCGAATTGAGCATAGTCAAGGGTTCTGGACTTCGTTCTGGTTTGATACTTGGATCGAGGGCATCCGATTGGCTGAGGAATTCCCGAGAGTTTTAGCTGCAGCCGAATCTCCGAACTCCACCGTTGCTGATTACCTTTCTTTTTCTGAGGGAAATTGTCAATGGGATATTCCATTGATTTATTCACTTCGGGGTGGGGCTGAAAGAGAGAGGGTGAGATTATTTGACTTACTTAACTCTATTCCATATCAAAATTTCTTTGCAGGACCAGAGAGACCAAGGTGGCTTCCGTCCCCTACAAAGGGTTTTAGCGTTCATTCGGCCTATGATCACTTAGCTGCGGCGAGATTTGGGGGAATACCGGAATTTACTTCAAAGGTGATTTGGCATAGCATTGTACCAAGCAAGATCTACGTATTTCTATGGCTGGTCTTCTACAACAGAATCCTCACCATCGACAACCTGAAGAAGAAAGGCTTCTACATTCCGAATAGATGTGTCCTTTGCAAGAAGGAAGAAGAGTCGTCGAATCACATATTCATAACTTGTGCATTCTCAATCCAGGTTTGGAGCAGGCTGAAATGTTTTGTTAATCTGGAAGGGAGTGTTGGAGCGAGCCCGGACATCTCAGAAAGAATCAAATCCTGGTCGCCATTGAATCCAGTAAATCCAGCTTAGTGGTGCTCAAGAGTTGCTTTACACGCGTTTTGCTGGCAGGTGTGGCTGGAAAGAAACAATCGGGTGTTCAATGATCAAGAATGCCATGTTCCTGCACTCGTAATGAAGATCGGATACACTATCTTTTGGTGGTTGATTGCAGCAAGGAAAGTCGATAAAGAGATTGCAGAAAGTTGGATCAAAGAAATGAAGAACATGTTGTTTCCTGATAACCCACAGCAGATCTTGAACTCGAGTTCACACTCTCATGAGGAAGAGTTGTAGCACTTTATTCCTCCTCCCCCCTCTGAGTCTGTGATGATTTGCAGTTGGGTGTTTTTTGGTTTTCTGGTGTCGAGCTGGGGGGGGGGGGGGGGGGTTCCCTCTCTCTTTCTCTCGTCTTCTGTCTGTCCTTTTATGCTCCGGTTGGCCTGTTTATACCAACCGCTGGAGCCGAACCTGTATCTTGTCCTTGTAACTGTTTTGTTCTCTTCCAATTTAATTTAATATATATCACCTTCAGCAAAAAAAAAAAAAAATGACTACGAAGGGTGGAGGCAAACTATTATGTATTAAGTATATCAGGTTAATCCCGGGAACAAGGCAGTCTCACAAACATTGCATACATCATGTACGTCAAATGAGATATACAATGGATAATTTAATTAATAACTGACAAAAGTTTTATCATTTTATTATGATCAGTAAAATACTTGTAAGATTTATTAAGAAATTCTAATTCAGTTTCTCGAAATTGCTAAAGCTTATTCCCGTATCACAAAATTTAGAGTTGAAAATTAAGTTCTTGTATATTTCAAACACACAAAAAATGTTTCGTTTCACGATTTCATGAATGAAAACATTGCCGATATAATTGACATCATTAATAAACTCATTTGACACTAAATCCTCATTGTTTACCTCTAGCTAAGCACACTCACAAAGTCATTGTAATATACAAATCATGTTTCTTTTTACATACACGCACTACAAATATTCTACAATTTTTCCTCCTCATAATCAAAGGTCTCCTGTCCACAATCCCCTATTTAATCCTTGTTAAATCCGAAGTCCAAACTTAGCTAACTCAGCCTCTTTTTTTCTTGTAGACACAGCTTTCCTTGACCTTAAAAAATTATGAACAACCCGTGATGCCATCTATGTCCAATATAAAAATAAGTACTACGTACTTATATGTAATTAATCTCAACTCAGTGCTCGATGAAATCCAAGATATGTACCGTAGACGCGTGCTGTTAATAATGTCGCAATCGCAGCATCACTCGCGAAACCATAATAATGTTGCACATCCATTCCTATACAAACAAAATTTCAATCTGTTTGCACGTATGGGAGCATTAATGGACGCCTGGCTAACACCTCCAAAGAGAGGCCCCAAATCGTAGGGCAAAGAAGAGAAGAGTGATTTGTCACAGTACAACGTGGTTTCATTGTTGTCGGCTACAAGCACCAAAAGATCATTAGGAGATGTCGTTGTCTTCTGCTAACAGAAGGAGAAACCAAAACATGCATGAACAGTTTCATGGCGTGATGAACAAACTGTTGAGCCACGGGCTGGCTCCAATTAATCATCAACCCAAGTTCGAGTTTGTGCCACTCGTGTTGCGGTGGTTAGCAGCTCGATAACCTTTTCGATTCAACTCTCACAATCTATCGATCATTCGGGGGAAAATATCGTATTCTTTTAATAGATATTAACATAACGATAAGTCAAATAATCTGCTTTCATGAATTTATCGGAGTATTTGGTGGTGAGAAACAGGATTGAGTTTTGCAGGCAGTTAGATGGAGTAAGTCAGCGAAGCATTTCATTGAAGGGTATAATTCAACCAGGGTGAAAAGGACTTGTGATGGTCTAGGAGCTCTGAACTTCTACTGTAGGAATTAAAGATAGTCGCCAAGGTGGGTTCAATGAACTTGATATAATAAGCAAATAGGGGTTAACCAATAATAACCACTACTGGGCCCTAAGTTTTGACCAAACTTCTTTTCTTGTTAATGAGTTCGTGTACATATTTTTGCTCTCTATAGTTTAGGTTATAATCTAGTAACTATTTGTAGATATCAAAATGCTTCCATCCATCCAAATTTATGTTTAGCCTACAATTAAGTCAGTTCGGCATTAAACTAGTCCCAGCATAGCAGAGTAGTAGAATGGTGTTTATCTTTTAGAACTTTGTTACAGTGACTTGCAAAGTCACTATGACTTAAATAAATTGGTCGACCTCTTTATTGATATGGTCGATATATTTGGACAAAATGGTCGATCTCTTTGTTAGAATGGTTGACCAGATGTACTATTTTTCATTTTATTATGTTCAACAAACGGTAGACCTCTTCTACTAAAAGGTCTACCTTTTTCACCAAGTGGTCTACCTCTTTCACCAAGCGGTCCATCGCTTTCAATAATCGACGACCTGATGAAACCATCGCTAGTGATACGATAATAAAATTAGAGTCCAATAATAAAAGATATGATTGCTAGTAAGAGATTTAAAATTAGTACAAACGCAAGAGAACTGCAAAATCGAAGATAGCACTCACGAGAGCTCCGACTTTCTCGGAGGAAACCCTAATCGGCCAAAAACAAAAGTTGTTCAGATATGATAACGACACCGACTTCGTCTGGTCGACTAGCACCAACGGAGAAACCCCCGGACCTGAGTGGTACTAGAAGGCCGGCGGTGGATTCATCTTCTCCGAATGGAAAGAACGCAAGGGAAGCAACTCAGGAAAAGAAAAGAGTCGGGGGTCTAAACTTTGAGCAGGAAGCTACAGAAGTCAAAATGGATGAGGGGGAAACTGACCGTCACCAAGATGCAATGGGAGGGTCGGGCTCTTCTCCATGGAAAGCCAGAATGAAGCTGTTTAGTGACGTGGTAAGAGAGGAAGGATGGTATGCGGTGGAGTCCAATACAGAGGATGTCACCGATCGTGAGAAGGAGGAGGAGGAGTATGTTGTCGATGAAGAGGATGAAGACCCTAGATGTTCCTCACCCCTGTTTATAGTGGAACAAAAAATTAAATGGAGAAGAGAATGGCGATCAGCTCTCGTGGTACAAGGGCTAGGCCGACGTGTTCCGTTCCTACCATTGGCTCGTCGCCTTAACTCGCTATGGGCAAAACATGGCGATATCCAGATTTCGGACATGCTAAACATATGTTTTTTTATTCGGTCCAGGAGCAAGCAAGACTATGATTATGCACTTGAAGGTGGGCCTTGGACATTGGGAGATTCTTACCTTGCCGTGCATAGATGGTACAAGGGTTTTAATCCGTGGACGGTGAAGGTGAGAAATATGTTGGTTTGGGTGCAACTATTAGAGATCCCAGTGGAGTTTTTTAACCGCGAGGCTGTGATGCAAATTGAGCCACTGATTGGGGACCCTATTCGTGTGTATATGGCTATCGAGTTAGGTGCTCGTATGAAATATGCAAGAGTTTGGGTTGAGGTTGATTTGACAAGACCACTGTTGGGGAGGTATAAGATTAAAGGGAAAGAGTACCTAATCCGGTACGAGGGTCTGGATAATATTCGTGGTGAATGTGAAACTTATGGAAAATCGGCGGATAAGTGTGGGTGTAGGATGATGGAACCTGAGGATGGGGAGAGCGGAGGTACTGAAAGTAGGAGCTCACCGTTGGAAGAACAAGCGAATGGGAGAGATCTTGGAGACTGGATGATGGTTAAGAAAAGAGAAAAAATAAATAACATAAAACCGAATACTCCACCACTAGAAGTTGGCATGCATGCAAAGGGGGGTGGCACGTGACGCGATGAGAGCAGGAACCGCTTTAATATCCTGCAGGACAATGAGACCTAGAAACGGGGAAGGAGAAGGAGGTTCAAGGTGATGCTAGGGTCGAGGACGAAGTAGCAAGGAGGGGTGCAAGGGATCAAACGATGACATAGACTGAGAAGGAGGATATGGTTTCAAAACAGGAGAAAATAGATAGGATGAGGGATGAGGGTGAGAAGGAAAAACTTCAGGAACCAGTACCTAGGGAAAGAGAGGTGTGTAGTAAAGATGTGGCGGGAGATACCTCGTCGAAGTATGTGGGAGAAGCGCCTCCGATTAACACCAACATGGACTAGGCTGCAAAAGGATTGGGGAAGGATGGAAGGAATGGAGGGGCGCTTGGGAAGGAGGGTACGAAGAGAAACAATAAAGTGAGGATGAATGAAAATACCATTAAGAAAGGTACTATAAAAGAATGGTGTGGGGAACCTATCCCCTTTTGTTAATAAATGAGGCTTTTAAGTTATAACTGTCACAGATTGAGAAACAAGCGGGCAGTTAGAGCTTTAAAGTCGCTTCCGCAACAGGTTTCCCCCATGTAGTTTTCTTAATAGAGACAAAACAAACGAAGGAGGAGAATGAAGAGCTACGAATTGAGATGGGATATGAGAAGGGAGAGAGATGGCCTACAAATATATCCGATGGTGGGAGAGCTAGTGGGTTATGTATGTGGTGGAAGGAAGATTTTCATCAAATGTGGATGTTAGATTCTTTGCACCATTTAAATATGAAAGTTGAGGATGATCACGATGGAGTATGGAGGATGATGGGGTTGTATGGATGGCCGGAGGACGAGGACAAAGAGAGGACATGGGATTTGATCACCCAATTGGTAGTACAGTGGGAAGGGCCATGGCCGTGTTTTGGCAACTTCAATCAAGTAATGACTATAGCTTAAAAGCGAGGTGGACAGGTGGTGAGTGAGACGGAAATTGGTGCATTTCGAGATTGTTTGGTTGAGGCAGACTTACATGACTTAGGCTATGATGGGTACGATTTCACATGGGAGAACAATAGACAGGCTGGTGGATTTATTGAGGAAAGATTGGATCGTTTTGTGGCCTCTACAAGCTGAAAAGAGACGTTCCAGTCCGCACGAGTGCTTCACCTGGATGAGAATAGATCGGACCATCGCCCAATTGTATACAATACCCGTGGAGAGGAAGATGAGGAGCCAAAATGAGGATGGTCATTCAGATTCAAACCGTTTTGAACAAAGCATGAGGGGTGCCAACAGCGAATTGAGGAAGCATGGAAGAGTCTGGGGATGACTGGTACGCTGGAGAAGATGGTTGGGTGCTGATCGAAGCTTGATGAATGGAGCCGTACGGCTTTCCCCAGTTTATCGAAACAAAAGAAACGCATAAAGCGAGCCATGAAAGCGGTGGACAATACCGTGAAGACGGACACAATCATCTAGCAAAGAAAACAACTCTAATAAGAACTTAACGAATTGGAGGACAATGAGGAACAATATTGGAAACAACAATCCCGTGCATACTGGTTATGTTAGGGTGACCAGAATACAATTTTTTTATAAGAAGGCATCGGCTCGAAGAAGGGGAAATACAATTCGGAAGCTGCAAGATGATAGTGGGCGGTGGTAGCAAGGTAACGAACAGGTGTCTAAGTACTTGTCTGATTATTTTATTAAAATGTTCAAGGCTGGCGAAGTGCCCCAAGCAACTCCTATCCTAGATTCCATTGGGCCGAGGGTGAGTGAAGCTGCGAATGAGGAGTTGGTGCGATCCCTTCTGATAGAGGAGGTCTTCTATGCTCTCAAGCAAATGAGTGCACGTAAAGCACCAGGGGAAGATGACATGTCTATCATGTTTTTCAGGAAGTATTGGGATATTGTAGGGGATGACGTGGTGGAGACGGTATGCGGCATTATTGAGAGTGGTGTAATGCCATTGGGTTTAAACCATACGCTCATCGCTTTGATTTCGAAGGCAAAGAACCAATGAAGGCGAAGGGCTTCAGGTCGATCAACTTATGTAATGTCCTCTAAAAGCTGGTAGCTAAGGTCCTAACAAACATACTTAAGGTACTTCTTGATTCGGTTATCTCCGTTTCGAGTGCCTTTGTTCCAGGAAGATATATTACAGATAACATAATGGTGGCTTTTGAGTGCTTTCACTCAATGAAGAAAGAGAAAGGGAAGATTGGTTTCTTTGCAGCAAAAATTTACATGGCAAAGGCATATGACATGGTCGAGTGGTGGTTCCTGGAGGGTGTCATGCAAAGAATGGGCTTTGTAGAGAGATGGATAATGCATATCATGTTGTGTGTACAGACTGTTACGTACTCGATCCTCGTGAACGGGCATCTACCTCAGATTTTTGTACCGGGACGTGGATAGAGACATGGAGACCCTTTGTCTCCATATATGTTCCTGTTGTGTGCGGAGGGACTCTCAACTTATACATCAGCGACATTCAGGGAAGGCCGACTGCATGGGCTATCCCCGACAATGGGGGGCTCCTAATGTATCTCACTTGTTTTTTTTTTTTTTTTTTTTTTTTTTTTTTTTGCAGATGACAGTATTTTTTTTTTGCGCGAGCAACAAAGCAGGAGAGTTTGTTGTTGAAGAAATTACTTAGCAATTATTAGGAGTCTGGCCAAATGGTGAGCTATGAAAAATCGGCGGTCACGTTCAGTGGCAACGTCACTCATCATATGAAATTACAAGTTAGCGGCGTCCTGGGAATACAGCTTGTCGAGAAACATGAAAAGTACCTTGGTTTGGTGACTGTTGCAGGACGATCAAAGAGGAAATTATTCACGGGCATTGTGGAGCATATTTGGAGTAAGCTTAAAGGGTGGAAGGAGAAGGCAATGTTGGCGACGACAAGGGAAATGCTCATAAAGTCGGTAGCACAGGCTCAGTTGTCATATGCCATGTCGGTATTTAAGGTACCGGAGGGGATTATTGATGATGTTCACAAAATGATAATGAGTTTCTAGTGGGGCCAGTAGGGTAGTGAGAGGCGGATTCCATGGGTCAGGCGGGAGGAGGTGATAAGTCCGAAGGAAGAAGGCGGTATGGGTTTTCGAGATCTTGGTGGGTTCAACTTGGTGTTACTGGCAAAACATCTTTGGAACCTATATCAGAGACCGGAGTCCCTTATTGCACGAGTCTGATAGACCGTCATTTACACATGTTTTTACCCCCATTCTTACACCGTTTGAGGTGTTGATTCTCGTGTTTTAGGCCGATTTCACGCTAGGTTGTGCTTGTTTGTGATGTTTCAGGTCCTAGTACGTGAATGAAGGCTTAGGAGCGAGTCTGGGGTCGATTGGACGAAGAACGGACGAAAGGCGAGGTTTTTGGGGAGCTGCACGGGCAGACCAGGGAGGCTGCACGGCCGTGCACGGTTGCAAGCTGGCCGTGCGCCTCATGCCGAGGAGATGCACGGGCAGGCCCTGAAGATTGCACGGCCGTGCACCTGGCCGTGCAAGAAGCCTGAGTTCGACTTAAGGGATACGCTGCGTTTCAGGGTGCACGGCCAGAATGGCAAGGTGCACGGCCGTGCACCCTGGCCGTGCAACTCGGGAAAACCCGGTTTTAAAGCCTAATCCGAGCCAGAAGTGAGGAGATCGGACCTTTTGAGCAAAAACAGAGCCCTAGAGAGAGAAAGAACGAAGAACTCACCCTAGAAGCTATCTTGGAGCTGGATTTCATCAATTCAAGCTTGGAGATCGTCCTAGGAGTGAACTCATCATCCCGGAGCAGATTTTCCTCATCATTATGAGTATGACTACTCCGATTACTGTTTTCTTTTCTCTCTCTATGGAGTAGAACCTCTCTCTCACTTGGGGATGAAGAACCCTAGTTCTATGTGTTAGGGATTAGATTGTAATGACTTGGGATGATACTACTGTTTGATTTTAATCGAATGATGCATGTTTCATGAATTGATTTGAGTCTGATCAGCTTGTCTCAATTTCTGCTTCAACCTGAGATAGATAGAATCTGATTAGGTTGTTAGAGCCTCTTCATTCGATAGTAGGAGGTTGGCTATACGAGAGTTAGCCAGTTTACTGCTTTGTACTGGTGTTCTTGGCGCCAGTAGTGGAGTTCTGTGTTCATAGCCTCAGCTTTCTATCCCGGTGAAGACTAGTCGTCTGCCGGGTAGTTAGACTGAGAGGGCTTGGTCAGCTTAAGAGATTCCAAGCTACTGTCGGATCTTCCGCAGTCTAATCAACAGTAAATCAACCTAGGGAATTGCAATTGAACCTAACTAAGGAGCTAGGGGGATTCATTCCCGAGTGACTCTTTCCTGCTTAAGAAAACCGAATAATTTCCTGCTTTATTTCTGCTTTTAGTTTAAACAACAATCACTTACTCTAGTTGGCTAGATAACAGAGAATCACTGAGTAAGCAGTAGATCTAGACCCCGGGTTGATAATATAACTTGCCTGTTACTGCATTCCCGGTCTGCGATTACACTTGGTCGCAGATTGGTGTTGTGTTTTGGCGTGTCAAGTTTTTGGCGCCGTTGCCGGGGACCCTCTAGGTTATTGGGGAAACGTGAGAATTTGTTACTCTAGCTTTTATTTTCTGCTTTTTATTTCTTCCACCTGTGTGCCTTCACGGGTTGTTTCTGCTGATTGTGTGCAGGTAGTGCATGACCCGTAGCCAGTCGGGAGATCTACTACCACTAGACCAGGAGCTTGAACGAACCTGCAGAAACTTCAAGCGGGCTCTAAAGGCGCGACTGGCTGCGGAGGAGGCGCTATCACAGCTGCAGTTAGAGGAGGAAGAAGAAGAGATGGCTGAACCAGGGAACCATGCTGTGATCCCCGAGGAGCAGACCATGGGCTCCTACTGGACCGCTAGGGCTGCGGACATGAGGTCACCCATTCAGCACCCTCAGGTCCCAGCCAACAACTTTGAGGTGAGCACCTCCGTGATCACCATGCTGCGCGGTTCAGTAGTGTTCCGTGGTAAGGAGGGAGAGTGCCCTCGATCACATCTCAGGCGATTCCACGAGCTCATCGATGGAATCAAGATCAATGGGGTACCAGCAGATGCCATCCAGCTGAGGTACTTCCCATTCACTCTGGAGGGGCAGGCCAAGGAGTGGCTAGACACTCGATCTCCGGGATCCATCACCACGTTCGCCAACCTGGCGGACAAGTTCCTCACCCGCTACCATCCTCCATCCAAGACAGCTGACCTGCAGAAGCAAATTACACATTTTGCTCAGGATGAGGATGAGACCATCAGGGATGCATGGGAGAGGTACAACAGTCTTTTCCTCAGGTGTCCCAATCATGGTTTCAACGATGCTTTCAAGGTGGGCACCTTCTATCACGCCCTCTTCCCGGAGGACAAGCAGCTGATCGATTCGGTTTGTGGCGGGAACATGCTGACCAAAA